CAGCGGGTCGGAACGGCCCGCCCCGGCCCCCGCAGTGAGGGCCTCCCTCGGTGGCTCTGCCGCAGGCTTCCTCCGGTGGGGTAACACCGCCTCAAGCCGAGTATCAGAGCCCTCCTCTGACACGCAGGCGGTGCTCAGTGTAAACAGAAAATACTAAAATAGCCAACTCAAGAAAAATGTTCATCTTCATTTAAAAATGGTTGGCTGCACGGAATTTAAACTTGTAATATTCCCGGTCTGCCAGGTAGTGACAGAACTGCCAAAGAAAAAAAGGGTAGCAAAACCTACCATGCCTAATATGGAGACAGCTCTTCATAAAAAGCATTTCAGCAGCTCTTCAAAGACTTACTGACAAAGAACCTGCTTTCCCTTAGCTAATTACCTCTAAATCCTATTAAACAGCACTCATTACAAGACTGGTACGAAGAGCACAAGGCTGAACAGAGGATGGCCACAATCCAAACATCTCGTGGGAGCAAAGAGACACCTGTCCCAGAGCTTTCACTTACCAAACACCTCCAGAACTATCCCTACTCGTTTGTTCTTTCCCCGTTAAACCACCATCCTGGCGGCTGACCACACAGAATGGTTGAGAGTCAAAATCCAGGGAAGCTGGTGGCTGGACTCCCACTGACTGCACCAGGCTGCTCAGTCAGTTGTTTTTACTGCTCTTCAATCACTGTACACATGGGATTGCCGTACAAAAAAGTACCCCTGTCTGTCGTGTTGCCTTAAAGAACACATCCCTCCTGCCTCCAAATCAACAACCACATCACTGCAGAGCCGCCTGCTCAAACAGGGTTAAGCCCCACAGCAGCACTGTGGTCCTTGGCCTGGCTGAGGGCAATAGATAGTGTTTGTTTCTGCTAGAAGTTCAGGGGAGAAACTGCCCTTTTACAAGGGTTGAAATCACTTCAGTACTGATTTTCTTACTCAAAATAATCTCAAACTAAGGCAATAAACTGGGGCACACCCAAAAAGAACCAACACATACACTTGCTTCTTTCCCAGCACCAAGCATACTCTGGGGAAGAAAACAAGTTGATTGATTTGGTTTCAGTGGAATTCCAAAACCGCTCCACAAGTGCTGACAGGCCACCAGTATTATTTTGTTATTACAAAATGACACACAAAACACAGCCGTTACTGCATGAAACTCATTCCTCATGGCAGCGCTGAACACTTTCGGCAGTGGTCGGGGAGCCCGAATTGCTTTGTGCTGCCCGAGACAATGAGTGCTCCTGCACAGCTCCTGCTCCCTCGGCTGATATGTGGCTCCGAGAGAAAAGGTTGTAGCTGCTCTAGGGAGATCGTGAGTACTTGTCTGGTCACGCTTTCAGAGAAAGATCACCCAGGCAATATTATTTATTTCTAGACATGTTAACATGATTCAGCCTGCGTTGACATTTCTGGAGATGCCTGTGCCCTTTATACTAATTCAAGACCACGTTTTTGTTTTGTTTTTTAAACCAATGCAATGTTCATTTATTTTTGTACTTACAAAAAGAGCCACCCCGTTGTATCCCTCCCCCCCAAATGCCTTTTACAAACATTTAAAAATTAAAAACCAGATGATGACATGTTAATTTGGTAGAATTATTTTGAAACATAGCTTTTGTAATTAGAGTTAAATTTCCTACAAGGTGACTTTGTAGACACAGCCTGATTATCGGCCAAATAAAATTCCATATTACAAGTTAGCAAATTCTAGTACAAAAATAGTCCATGTGTTAGAACAGCCTCATTATTATTATTATTATATTCACAGGAAAGAGTCTATTGGCTGCATAATACCTTAATATTTATGAAATTTCTTTTTATGTGGCTCATTCATCTAATTTAATATAGTGTTGAGCCTCAATAAATCCTCAGGCAAAAAACCCTAAACAGGGTTAAATATGCTGTTCAGTGTACTCTGAAGTACTGTGCTTTTCACAGGACATCCAAGAAACCCCACAAACAGTTCTCAGCTAGTTTTGATATTAAAATGAGATCCAGATCCAAAAGGACCCCCAAAAGGACCCCCTGAAGTACATATCCACGACTTCCCACAGAAACAGAGGCCACAGCTTCGATGGTTAAGTTTCACTTGGAAACGGTCTAGCTCATCCACTCATCATTTTCACGAATCCACTTGTGAGCTTCTTTAAAAACTAGAGCAGGTCACTCCTGAAGCATCTGGGACCCTCACGGCACTGCCCTCTTCAGGAGTGTCCCTACTGACCGGGCTCTCGCTCCTTTTCTGCCTCTGGTTAATGCTGTTCAGCAGTTTCTCTCGGACCAGGCCCCGCAGGGAAAATCTGGGGAAATGCTACTTGTCTCTCAAGATGTCTAGCTGCTCTTGATATTCTGTGAAAAGCCTCTGGAAGCGGAGGTTCTGTCCAATAACAGGAAGAAGCTCTTTCAATAGTTCTCTCTTTCGTAAACCCTGCACAAAAAACCACAAAAGCATCCTCAGAATGTACTACCTGATAGCATGAATATATTTGACAGCTGTTTAAGATGCATGCCTTTTCTCCTGCCTGGAGAGGGCTGTGTATTTTACGTTCTTACTCTGCTTACATGACTCCCAGAATAAAAACAGTCTTTACATTTACGTACACTCATGAAGCTGGTGCAGCCTCTGCGGTTACAGACTCCAGACGTGCTCGGAGAAGGGAAGGCATTTAATTGGCATGTCACTATATCAAAGTTGCTGTCTGAAGAATGTGGAGACCTGAACACGCAACTCTGCTCCATCTGTGTGACACTCGAGCACCAGAGCTGGGACTGTGGCACTCAGCATTTGTCTAAGGTTTCACATGAAATAAATCCAAATGCCACAGGAGGAAGCCTGGTTATGAGATTAGAGCATGGTATGGAAAGGGTTCCAGGGTCAGCAAAAAGAATTTGAGATTGCTTTTTTGCTGCTAAGTTTAATCATATTTCAAGTTCTTTTATCTGTCCATGTTCTGCAGTTTTCATGGGACACACTTCCTCATTCTTTGTTAAACTATTATCAGGACTTACCATAACTGTTGATTCCCACTGACTTCCAGCTGAGTAATGGACTGGACCCAGTAAATCCTTGCATAATTCTCGCAAACGATATTCAAACCCTGTGTGTTATCAGAA